CTCAACAGGAACATCACGAGCGCCACGCATGGCTACTGGTCAAAGAAACGTAAAACTCAAAGGGCACCACTCGGCAGATTGGTTTACCAACAACGAGAAGATACGCAGCTTAACCCGGAATGGATTTCTTGTTGTTTATGCCCACTCTATCAATTCTGGCATAACAGCTGATTGTACTTAGGCTACGTAAAGCCTGATTGTACCTATCTCACCCACAAACAACCCAACAATTGGCCAAACAAGGGATAAAAGGTGTGTGAATCATGTGGCTACATTGTTTTGTTGTGTTCCAACCGAGCGGGGGAGATATTAGAGTCAAAAGTTTCTTCTTTAGGCTCATGCATTCTTTCAGTGAGCTGCCACACGTAAAATGGGTCCAACGCCAAGTATAACCTCTGCTGTGTCAACCAATACCTTGATAATTCTCACCAAATATCTATGCGCCACTAAGATTTTATATCATGTCCTCCTTTGCAATGCAGTAGCTTTAAAACTCTTGTTTCGCGCAAATTTTATTGTTTATTTTGGTGCCGCAAGTTAAAAACGAAATATCCACGCTGTCCACGAACGAAGAACAAATCAAACTACTTTTTTATTCTTTCACAACACAGTGTACAAGTTAAAAATACACAGGAGGTACCGTAGTATGAACCGGAAAGGGACCTCCTACGCAATATGAAAAAATATTTGATTGGGAACAACAGCCACAATAATATTACTAATAATATTTCAAAATTATAAATGATGAAATGCAGATACAACGGAATTACAATGCCTTCATTAACTATGTGTCATTGGTAATGAAATTATCGGTATAAGTAATCCCAAAACAGAGAAAAGCAACAGTTGAATTAGGTATCATCAAGTCCAGAGAAAAACTACTTAAGCAGAATTATTATTGTCAATAACAAAAGCTTTTCTGAGTTCATAGGAAAAATCTTTGAGTATTTTTATTAGAAATAACAATCTTTTCCTAATCAAACAGCTGCTAATTCAACCATGTGTTTGTCATAATTTGCATCTAGGGTAGAGTGAAGTTGTGCTGCGTGAAACGATTTATGTTACCATCGTGTGAAGATGATGATAAAGTTAGTCATAATGACATTTGTTTATCAATTACTTTTAAAAAACGTTTCGAGATTTTATTTTTTAAGGGCGGCAACATCGACAGTGTTATTTTCTTGTAGCAACTGTTTCGAATTCTAGGAGGGTGAACATGACGTGAATAATTGAGATAAATTCGCGGTAGACGCCATTGAATGGATAACGTATCATTTGGTTCGAGTCAGATTTGAACTTAGGCCCTCTGTGTCGCAAGCAGGTGTTTTACCACAGAGTGATAGCAATGCCTGACAATGCATCCGGAAGAAACCCCCATACGGGTGTCATCATATGCGACAAGTCTCCTTGCCGCATGTGGTGTTGCGTGACAGCAGCGTCTAATGGCGCCAGGCGTCGAGCCGTGTGGACTGTACTATGAAAGAGAGGTTGAAAATTCGAAAAAGCTTGAACTTCGCCTCTAGAGTAGATTCAGATACCATAATATTGCCTCTTGCGCATCGCCTTTGAAACTGCTCCGGTTCTCAGTACAAGTCTCAACCGTGTCGTCAGGAAACAAACGACTCTGGGTCAAACATTGGACGTTTCACAGAGTATTATGCATTGCCTATTGAAAGCACATTCATTTCTCTTGTGAATCATTTCTCTTATGAATCAGCGAAGCCCCCTCTATGTGTCCGTAGGGCAACACACGAACCTATGCCGCTGCTAACTTTCTTGACGGTTCAGCTGCTGCTGATGATGATGATGAATTACGTAGGAACACTTTGCAATGAATGCGTCTTTAAAAAACCCACTCATTGCTCAATCTACGTGCTTCGACGCGTGACGCGATTATACGCTTCTGCCACGCAATAAATGATGTGTTAAGGACACTCCTCTACTACACGACATTCATATAGTGCTTCTTATAGCGATAACAATTATATGAATAATCTCATCTGGATTGCACCGCTGGTGTCGGTGGCGTCAGCGTAGCCATGAATCCCCCATATATATATATATATATATATATATATATATATATATATATATATATATATATATATATATATATATATATATGTGTGTGTGTGTGTGTGTGTGTGTGTGTGTGTGTGTGTGTGTGTGTGTGTGTGTGTGTGTGTGTGTGTGTGTGTGAAAACGCAATAAAGAAAAAATGATCGAAACACTCATGCGCGCGGAATCGAACTTCGGACCTCTGCTGATTTGTGAGTGCTAGGCGTTACCCTCTGAGCCACGAACGAGAACATCCTTCAACGTTCAAACGGCAAGCTAGTTCTATTTTCCACCTATTACTGGTAATGGGCATCTTGGGGGGGCTCATGTGGTTTCCGCATTACCAGCGAGATGGCGCAATGAGCGCGTCCGCACATCGTCATGGCGTGGTGGTGCGCGCTATCATCTTCCACGCGTAACTTGGCCCGCAGAGAAAGGGCAAGGAAGACGCCCACGCGTGTGCTTGCTGATCTCACGGTGGGGAAAACCGTACGCATTGCCTTTCACCGGGACGATTCTGTTGTAGTTACCGGGCGCACAAAGGTCACTGCAATCATTGCATAGTTTTTGTTTGCGAAAAGGGCGCGCTTTTCAGACACAGGGAATTAATAACTGAGACGCTTATTCGTGTCCATCTGTACTGTGAGTACGTTTCGTGCGTCATTTGCGCATGAAAAATACGGGGCACATTTTGATCTGCTTGCTATTCTGCACATTATATCGAATTCGTTGCTATAACGTTCATTGCTGCGCCTTTGCGGCAAAATTGTGATTTTTTTTCAAAACATGTGTAAACAAATCTCGTGGCTATGTGGTGAAACACTTCCATGCCACGCAGTAGTGCAGGGTTTGATCCGCAGTTATAGCTAAAACCTCAAACCTAAAATTCTTATTCATTTTGTTTGTATCTTTCTATGTTTTGAGGTCACAACGCTGACACCGACACCAACATTTCTGCTAAACGAGCTTGTTAACGCTATCACGTTAAAAGCGCTCATTACGGAGCTCTCAGGATAATAAAATTCTCATTAGCAGTTAAGGCATGAACAAAGAGAGCAGTGGCGTAGGTGGGCGCTTTGCCTTGCGAACGCGAAGTGTGCCTGCCGCAGATTAGCAAAAAAAAAAATTATGGCACAGCGGGCTCTATTATCTATTTATCTATCGTACAGTATCTATACTATCTGTCGTATTTTGGATAGATTTTACTGAAATGACCCATGTAATTCTTTCATTTTTTCGCGGAATGGCTAAGGCATTCCCCGACAAGCTAAGCCTGACTACAGACGCCAAGCGTTATGCAAAACGAGGCCCATTTACGTTTTAGCTTAACACTCCAGAGGGGAAGGCCAAGCGTGCTTGAATTTATTATTGCGATAACAAACATATGGGCAACCTCGGTTTATTTTTTACCGTCACCGCCGCCATCATTCACCGCATATGTGAACTCAAGAAAGAAAAAAAACACTCGTGCTTGGTGCCCAGATCGTCATGATGCGCTTAGGCGTAGTTATACCATGCGCATACTCTACCCGCAAAATAGGAAAGGGGGGTGTAGATTCTTGGGCGCGCACGCTTATCGCTCGGTGGAAAGAGTCGTGTGCCTTCGGCTTTTACCGGAACGATTGCGTTTGTTGCCGGGCCCACAAAGGTCACTTCGCTCATTGCACAGGCCCCGTTTGCAAGAAGAGCGCGTTTTTTACACAGCGAAGTGTAACAACTGAGACATTTGTTAGTTTGCACTCATCTGTACTTGTGATAACGTATCATGCGTGATCTTTATTTAAATAGCGCGTTTGGAGCCGAGTGGTAAACGTTGTTAGTTAGGTCTCGTTCTGTGTATGTTGATTGCGTGGGTCATTTGCGCGTGAGCCGCGCGGTGCAAGTTTCTCTCTGCTTGCGGTTCTCAGCGTTACATTCCTAGTTGTTGCTATCGCATTCATCGCTTCGCCCTTGTGGAGAAACTGGGACTTTCTTTTCCCGCATCCACGTGCAAGCATGTACGCTCCTCTATTCAATGTTGACACCCCCCCACCCCCCTGTTACTCTCACTCGCACTCTCCTGGGAACGCAGCAGCAACAAAAAAGCAGTTCTTGAGCCGAGAAAACTGGCGCTTTTTAGCCAAAAATGCACGTAATGGTTGACACCATGAAGAAGAAATGGACATGGACATGGCCCGTAGTGTGTGGGCAGAATAACCACTGGTCGTTAAAGGCGGCTGACAGAACTCTAAGAGAAGGCAAACGCTTGATAGGGAGGCAGGAATTTCGGAGGGCAGATGAGATTGAGAACCTTTCAGGTATAACGCAGCAACAGAAAGCAAGGGACAGAGTTGATTGGAGGGACACGGGAGAGGCCTTTGCTCTGCAGTGGGCATTGCCAGAATGTCGATGATGATGATCATCATCATCATTAGGATATTTATGCCCCTTATGCTCTCATGATGGGAGAGAAAAGATCGTTTCGCGCAATTTCTGGTGTCTTTGTCGGTGTCGGTGGATTGGTTTGCTCCAAAAAGTTTCTGTTTAAGGTGTCATCAAAGACTTTCATATGATTAAAACGCTGCGTTAGCTCAAATACGACAGCCACAACGATTTTTTTGTGACATAGCTGTCCGTGCAATGTAAAACTCTTAGGTATGGAATGAACAATCAAGCAGCACTGAGCTGCATTGTTCAAACTGCACTCTAAGTATGCCTCTTGAAGTGTGGTTACTGAACAATCTACAATTTCTTCAACCTTTTCAATCTCATCAATTACGTCAACGCAACTATTTCATACCACAAGGAAAACCTATTATAATGGTTCCGAGACCTAAAGTTGACGAGTGTTGCGTAAGAAGACATTTTAATTTCTATTCAAACATCTTTGACATAATCCGGGCGTAGATGTCACTGCCAGCGATTATGTTTCAGCACCGCACTTGCACCAGTTGCAGATTCCTAACTAGTTAGTAAGTTCCGCAAACATGCACAAAGCAGTAGTCTCTGCTGTTGCAGCGTTGACGTTCACTCTACTGCTACGTGTAAATGGCGACATAGAGACTGTCTCTAGTGAGTGTATAAGATCTTATTCTCTATTTTGCTCATGCAATCACCCCTAAAACCAGAGAAGCACAGTGAATGTCCCGCATGTTTTATTTTTACACAACAAAGGTTTTTTCTACAATGAGAAAATGATATACTTCCAAGCATCTGAAAATATCTCAGCTAGGTTTTAGAACAACATTTGGCAAATTAGTTTTAGAAATGGATATATTTCCGGTATTTCACGTAAAACGTGTGTCTTAAGGAATCCTATATGCCAGCAGTACATTCTGCCTTCGGTAAATAAGTCACTGCGGCTTACTGTATTTGTGTTTGACTTTAAAACTACACGAAATGTGATTATGTGGTCGGACATTTTGAATTACGACGTGCCCGAGAAGTGCTAAAATGGAGATGCTTTGAGCTGGCAGCTTAGTGCCAACTTCAGAAGGTATCAGATAGCCACTGTGCTTTTAAAATGAGGTATTCAAGAACTTTCACGAAAGTGAGAACCATCACTGGCTGCCCCGTGCACGACAGTACACGTAAGCACGATACCACTAGCGGCAAAGCAGACTTGTTGAATACTATATTACAGCCACGAAATTAAAGTAGGTGTAGTGCTTATCCGCAAGTGTGCACCTCGCAGACAACACGGTAGGCTTGTATCACTCGATTGTATTAATACCTCTCCCTGCGTGAAATAAATCTGGGGCAACGCCGAGCGTATGCGTACAAGACGCGACGTATGCATAAAAGATTATGGAGCCGGAATGAACCTGTTATCATCGACACCTCGTTCGAAGTCCCATCCGAGCCCAACTCCAGCCCCGGCGCGTCAGACGCTGCCAGCGGTGTCACGCACCAGGACGTTATCTCTCCAAGAAAAAGAACACAAAGGAAGGTAGCACAAGCTATAGAGTTTCTCGTAGATAAAATACAGGGAAGTGTGATGCTAGAATCTATGGGAGCTGCGGCGCTTCGGCGAGCATGGGAATGGTGGGTCACCGATAGATTTGCCTATTCTTCGTACATTCGGCTCCATTTACCTCCCGTGAATTGGACCTGCTTTGGCACGAAATGAGAATCATCAAATGTTCTGCACTTGCACTTCACTACCTCAACCGTTCGGGCTAACAACTTTAATCGGGTAATGAAATTCAAAATGGTTTGTTATTTTAGTCGAAGCAAACCAAAACACTGTAATAAACAAACTCGCAACTCTGTTCGAAGCTCGCAAGCATGAATACTAGGCAAATTTATGTACTAACCATGATTGCCATATCCTCTGAACAATCGCAGTGCCACAGTGCAATCTAGTTATTTTTCGAAAACTCTTTGGCACAAGCTACACTCTCTCAGCACAGAAGGTGGCCGCCATGTAGATAGTGCTGTGCATCTGCCTTTTATTCGTTGCTATAGGAAGCGATAACATTTAGCATGCTCGAATATGAGGCTACACTGATAATGTGAACAAACATTAAGAATTCCGAAGCTATAATGTTGCTGACCTAATTCGTGAGCAACTAGAGTATCTAATGTAATATTGTACAAAGGGTGGGGACAAGATATCATATTTTTTTTTACTTTTAGGCTCCCCAATGTTTTCGTTCAGGTCAGACGTTCTGGCTTGACCACCCGAATAACGGCACTAAGTTTTTGCCCACAGTTCCTTAATAGACGCTTAATACAGGAGCATAAATAATTTCATGCTCATAAACTCCGACACAGGCGATTCAAATATTGTGTGAAGATATTCTGTCACTTTAAAACTTAAGTAACAAACACCATTTCATAACTCAGCCTGTTCAAGGTGGTTTGTGCTCTACCAAAAGGATGCACAAACATCATCTTGAAATGAGCCATTGGCTACGAGATCTTGCGCTCTCCTGGACAAAAAAAAATTCCTTCAGAAAAAATTAAAACAATACTAAACCATCCTTTCTTCGAAGGATAATATAAGGATAAGGTTGATGAAAAACACCCCGTCATTCTAAACCAAAATAAACTTGGCCTACGTCACACGATAAAGCACATGCAGGCTGAAAAGTAAGGCCTCATAATTCTCAGCCCATTCGGTGTTAATTTCAGGTCAAATGTTTTTAAAGAAAGCCGCAGTTCTGCCTGCCACGTGCGATGCTGTTCTATTTTGCGGTGAACTTCTTAACTTAATCATTTCAGCTAACTCTTTACTATAATCTCCTGTGTTTATCTCGCCTGCGTGTTAATTCCGTCGCTGCAGCGGATGACAGGCTGTCTGCGCTGAAGGTGGAATGTTTACGGCTTTCGTCTTCTGCAATATAGATCACACCTCTTTGTTTTCTGAAGTTCTCCATAGTCATCCAATCTCTTAAACATATTCCTAGCAATTTTATTTTTATCATATACTGCGTAGTCCTTAATGTCACCATTGTTTTATTTGCACCTTTCTCAGCTTTTTAAACATGCACAAAACCTTGATTTTCACTCAACACCAACGATACTCACGGCAACACCGGAATTCCAGCGAAACAAGCTTTTTAACGCTCTAAATATGGGTCGGCTATCTACAATAAGCCATCAGAACCTATCACCTCTTCAAAAGAAGATTCCAGAGACGATTAGTCCCGTCATCTCACAGACAATCTGAGTGTAACGTCTATTAACTTTTGGGGTTTTCCCAAGAATTATTGCTCCGAAAGGATGACTGAGAGATACCGTGGAGCGCTTCAAGAATTGATACTTCTTGCCAACATTTGCGCCTCGATCAATATGACTAGTAGGCAGCTTACAGCTGGTGGTAAAACGGAACTTGCTGACTATGGTCGGGATATTACTGAGATGTGACTGGGAAGAAAATAAAGATGGTTTGTCGAACGAGGTGACAAATCGCCTAATATCGACTGAGTTGTATGAGAAAAAGTCACTGAGGCGAATTGATCTTCAAATTCACAGATTATCCTAGTGTCTGGTAGGAATGTCGTTACTTCATATAGCCGCTTCAATCGACGTAATGACAAGATGGATGCAAACATAGGTTTTACCAGAATTTAATTGATCGCAAAAAATTGTGGTTAGCGATAATTTACTTTACGACGAAGCTATAAGCAACGTGCGGTGCTTGTTCACAGAACATGATCCAACGTCACTCAACAACATTTTCTGAGGCTAATCCTTCAGAGCTACCTGAAAAGATAAGATCACAACCCGCAACGGTAGTCTGGCGGCTAAGGATTGATGGACATGTGGGGTTTAACGTCACAAAACCATCAAACTGCAGCCGCCGTAGCCGAGGTTCGATTCCACGACCTGTAAGTGGGCAGCCGAGTAGTATCTAAGGCACTCGGCTGCTGACCGGTTGGTCGCGGGATGTAATCCCGGTCGCGGCAGCCGGATTTTCGATGGCGGCGAAAATGCTTGAGGTCCGTGTGCTTAGATTTGGGTGCACGTTAAAGAAACCAAGGTGGCCAAAATTTTCGGAGCCCTTCAATATGGCATATTTCATAATATTATGGTGGTTTTGGGACGTTAAACCCCAACACATATTATTATAGTGTGATCAGAAGCCAAAACAACTGGCTCTCGATGAACGTCCATGTTTGATGACAGTGCCAACAATGTTACACATTTGGAATGGCAAAACAGTACAATTCCTTGCACTCTGCCTAACAAGAAAAGGTACGGGTGTGCTGAAGGCCAGTGCAACAGGATGGTGCCAATACATTGTCATAAATGGGACGTTGGTGCGGGCAATCATTGCATCATTTTATTTTGTGATGAGTGCCAACAAATCCCTAAATTTATATTTCGCGATGTTTAAGGGCGTGAAATAAAACTTAACTTTATTAATTTTTTTTCTGTAGCCTAGGGACCTAGCGTGGCCCTGTAGAAAATATTTTGTAAACCTCGAGGACGTTTACGATTCCATTTTTGTGAGACCTGTACAGATGCAGATGCCATAAAAATCACGTCTGTTTCCACACGACTTATAAAAATAAAGTCCTCACTGATAGCTTAATGAATGCGCAGGTATTGGCAGAATAATATAGCTTAGTGAAGCTTGCTTGTTTGCTAAGGAGACGGCGACGCAGGCTGATATAAGGAACAAAACATCGTCAGGTGATCACGATGGTGAAAAAGGTTGTGGTGGGGTTGTTCAAGACGAACATGTTTATTGGGCGAAAAACTGCCTACGTAATGAAAAATCAGAGCACGCCTAACACATACACTAGATGGTTAGCATAAGAGTAGTCGTCGGTCATCATTTATTTAATTGTCAGTAGAGGGGAGCCCGTCTTTCATGCATTCAAGATTTAAAGGTGGGGCTCGCGTAAGCTCCAGGATGAACATGGTTATTCGTATCCTGCACGTACGGCCACCAGAATAGATTCCAAACAATTGGGTGCGGCATATGTCGGGTTGTACAACAGGTTGTTGTTTCGACGTTGTTGTAATGTACAACAACCTCGGAAAGGAGCAGCGCTCCGAGATAGGTAATAGCGCACTTGAAGTTGTAAAAGACTATGTCTACTTAGGGCAGGTAATAACCGCAGAGCCTAACCATGAGATTGAAGTAACTGGAAGAATAAGAATGGGGTGGAGTACATTCGGCAAGCACTGTCAAATTATGACAGGTAGATTGCCACTATCCCTCAAGAGGAAGGTATATAACAGCTGTATCTTGCCGGTACTTAGCTACGGAGCAGAAACCTGGAGACTTACAAAGAGGGTTCAGCTTAAATTGAGGACGACGCAGTGAGCAATGGAAAGAAAAATGGTAGGTGTAACCTCAAGAGACAAGAAGAGAGCAGAGTGGATTAGGGGACAAACGGGGGTTAAGGATATCATAGTTGAAATAAAGAAGAGGAAATGGACATGGGCCGGGCATGTAGCGCGTAGACAGGATAACCGCTGGTCATTAAGGGTAACTAACTGGATTCCCAGAGAAGGGAAGCGGGTTAGGGGGAGACAGAAGGTTAGGTGGGCAGACGAGATTAAGAAGTTTGCGGGTATAAATTGGCAGCAGCAAGCGCAGGACCGGGTTAACTGGCGGAACATGGGAGAGGCCTTTGTCCTGCAGTGGACGTAGTCAGGCTGATGATGATGTCGAGTTGTAACAGATTTATTGTGGGTGAAACGAGATTTCATCAAAACGAAGCATAAAAGTGTGCGCTGCACTAAAAAGGGTGCAAGAACGCGGGGTAAAGTCCAGCCTTACTTTGAAACGCATGCCCAATGTCGGTCAAAGCAATGACTATAAACAAAAAGCCTTCTGTTTCCTGTTCTTCATTTTGTTCCAGCTTGCTTGAGAGGAGCAGACTATCCATGCGCATACCCCGATGGTAAGTTGTAGTTACGCGTTCAATATCTTGTAATACATATCAGTAGACACCACTGCACGATCTTATCTTTTAACCATGACGTAACGCTAATTTTTATCCACTGATGTAAGAAAACTATGTTTATTTCTTCCTTTGGGCTGCAAGTAAGCTATATACTACGTACTTTTATTAGGCATTTTTTCTTTCTTTACTGCTTTTTCCTAAGGTCTACCACCAACGCGAAAATCGACGATGTTTTGGTATTTTGCAGTTGTTACATCTAAGTTGTGTAAAGCACTGGAGAATTTATTCAGAGCGTACATGAAACTGTTTTAGATTTTATTTATTTCTTCCCTCAAAGGTGTACGCACCAGTTGCTATTTTTAGATGTTTTTGCAAGCGAAAAAAATGTTTTGCTTCCTTTTCCGACGTGGCTTGTATTCGACCGAATCGAGTACGCCAGTTCCTTCATTATTTTTGGAACACTTCTGCCTGTTGGCACTGACCTACAAGCCCAATATGGCTTGTATTCGACCAAATACTTCACGCTAACCCAGTCATTCTTTGAAGTCCACGAATATTCGCACAGCCCTATAAGCTCTCTTGAGAGGCTGGATGACAAACGCAATGAATTTGCAAATATTGGCAGCAAGTATCACATCATCTTCAAGTTCTTCACATTCACCGCAAATCTGCTCATGATAAATTGTTTTATTGATAATAGTCTTCCTTAATGCACAAACTTTGTCCACATGTTAAATAAGAAGGACCCTAAAGCAGCAGTGGAAGAATTAGGCCTTTGATGATATGTACTGATTCATTTTTTCTTTTAACAACATCTTGCTGGCCACCTGGGGAGCTTTGGGCAAGGTAGGCATAATGCCAGAATTAACAAAACAAATCCAATAAATCGTACCAAGTTTTCAAATAATAGCGGGCAGGCAAAACGGTCTTACGAATAAATTTAAATTGGAAGGCACTGCCGTCAATCATCGTGCGTTTTTTTTTTGTCCCGCCTTACGCTTCATATATTCAGCAACAGAAAAAAAATATCTGAGAAAAAATGAGTGCTTCAAGTACTGAAATTGTGTCGCACAGCAAGTATCTCTAGCCAGCGTTTCGAAAAGTAAACTTCTGTTGTTAAAGGTGGCAACTGATGCTTGTCAGTCGCGGTAGCTTATAGCGCTTATGATGCTCGGCTTCTGATCCGAATGCTGCGCGTTCGATTTTGTTCGATCGCCCACACAGTGGCCGCATTTAAATAAAGGCCAAATGGTAGAGAGCCTTGTATTGTGCGATGCAAGCTCATGAAAAACATGGCCCGATTATCAAAATTTTCAAAGACCTGCACTACTGCATTCCGCATAATCGTATTGTAGTTTCGGGACGTTCCACCGCACATTTTCATAATATTAGCAAGTGCTGCTTGTTTATGCCTCCATGGAGACAAGTTTACTTCTCAAAGTGCTGTCAGTGGTCTTATCACCTGTTCAATCTTTTTTCTTCAGACTGGCCCATGGCATAATGTCAATCGTTCCCATGATTTCAGGACATGTACACTTCGTGCTATCTCTTGGCGATAGCCGTACTTCACACTGAACTGAATAGCAAGCACGCAAAAAACAATCCTACCTCACTAAACAAATATTATAGTGAAAATGACTCTCGCGATCCTAATCTGAGGAATCACATTTTTTGTGTACCTTTACTAGCATACCACAAAGCACCTACCTTCCCAGCTGATTCGAAGATTTACCATGTAGCTATATGAAATGAAGGCTGCCGCAACTTTGGTATAGTTTGGACTTTGTCAAGCTCGGCTGCAAAGCTCAAAGAAGAGGTTGAAAAGGCGAATCCTGGTTTTACATTGTCTTAGAAGAGATTTTTCAGTTCATATGCTACTTTATCGTGTAGCGACGGCCACTTCACTATCCTGGTCATTTTGTAAGTTTTATTCCTCTTGTTTCCGAAGCCCACGTGTCCTCCTATGGTGTATCGAAATGTGTCGCGCAAGTTCACGGTATGGACAAATCTTTTTGAATACTGCTCAAGAACACGGATAATTCTAGCTTCTCTTATGGCATCTGGTGGCCGCTTTGCACGTAATTGTGTCCCTGATTCCTGGCGTTGACGCGCTTATTTTAGGCTCCTTCAAGCGTTCATTTCGGGGCATCTGGTTGTCTGCTTGCAATGGCTTGTGCAGAGGCAGTGTTGCATCCAGTGGGGTCTTCTTCTTGTCCAAGTTCGTTGTTTTATCGACACTTATCTTCCATTCGTTGCTTCTTTTTTCACGCTACATTTACCACATAAGACTGCAGAAAAACATTTTAAGAACTTTCAGTTCGTACTAATTACTTGAGAAATTACGACTTTCGCGTAATAATCACATTGCAATGGCAAGATTGATAAAACACAAAATGTCGATGTGTGGCTTGCTGTGATGTCGTCTTATTTGTTCAATGATCAAGGAGTCACTATGCTATATTAAGTTGGCACACTGCCGCTGATGCTAAATTTGATATTTTGTTGCAGTGTGCACTCAATGCCCACCAAACGTCACGGACTATCCCGGCCATACTTTTTTCTACTATGCGCCAGAAAGAAACTCATGCGTTCGCATTTCAGGAACCACTGACAATTGCAACGGTTTTGTTGATGACGACAGCTGTCGAACTTTGTGTGGCTTAGACGACTATGACTAAGAAGTGTCGATATGCCTTACGATACGTGAGTAAATATTTTGCATATCTGATTAGGTTATACTCTAAGATTGAAGGTAATTGAATAGTGGTTGTTTTCTGTACAGCTACAGAAGTTTCAAGCCATTTGTTGCGGCTCTACACTAAAGGAAACAACAAAATTCCACTGTATCAAATAAAATTTAATGTACGGCTGGAAAAAGGAAGGAAGAATGTGTTTAGCACCCCAAGGATTCCTTTATGCCAAAGAGAAAAAAATTACTGAGTTGCGTTGTATTTTAGCAAACACTTCCTGACTATTGCACCTCACGATTGCGCGTTACTGTTTTCTGTGAATATATGCGTGGTCTTCACCCCCACATTTCAATGAAAATGCCGTCAAGTGTATTTCATGAAAGAGAAACCAGCCTCTGGGGCAACTAATATATTAAATGCGAACCATTTCTTTGATTATTGTAAACATGTTTGGAGTCTATCTATCTATCTATCTATCTGTCTATCTGTCTATCTGTCTATCTATCTGTCTGTCTGTCTGTCTGTCTGTCTGTCTGTCTGTCTGTCTGTCTGTCTGTCTGTCTGTCTGTCTGTCTGTCTATCTATCTATCTATCTATCTATCTATCTATCTATCTATCTATCTATCTATCTATCTATCTATCTATAGACGCTTATGTCTGGGTGCTCTTGGGATCACCCCCTTCACTTGACGCGAACCCAAGTTAGTACCAGAGAGTAGGATGGTTCGGCAACTATGACGCCCTCGTCAGGACACGCATATTGTCAGAATCCCGTCGTGTACGTCGGCAAACATGTTCCACCAGACAGTGGCACATACCCGCAAGCGGGCATGTGCCACAGGTATGTGGGTATGTGCCACTGATTATTGACCCTTACTATCTACCCACAAACAGCCAGAACACACACGGGTAATATTAGCGCGTTAGCAATAAGAAAAAATTGGCCCCGTATCTGCATGTAATCTGCAAATGTCGTCTAAAGCCGATAGTCTTGCGCGTGGAGAGAGTGAACAAAACATTTATTTGATGTTCTGCGCAACAAAATCGGTTGATGGTATTCCGGAGGCGCTGCGTTAGTGCCTCGAGCGTGCAGCGGAGGTGAACGAGCGCATCTAGTCACGTCACACATGAAACATGAGCGCAATCTGTCAGTTATTTTTAATGAAAACAAAGCGCGTGGCCCTTAGGGGGGCGTGCTCGCCCGTCTCAGAGGTAATAAGGTGTAGAACGCAAGGCCACGGGTAGGTGCCACCACCGAGTCGTCTTAGCAAAGCGTTGGAAACACTCGCTTCTTCGTGCAACTTTTGCATTGTCAGCGCAGCGTGATAAGCGCTACGGTCCTTAGAATTGCTGATGTATGTCTGTTCTCGTAAAAGACGAACATGCAGAATATATACGTGTTGTTATGGTGCCTCACATATGCGCAATAATTGCTTTCTAATTCACAATCGCACAAGTATGAACGCTGACTTTTGAGCCACATTGGTGGGTGCTGCGTATGGGGTCGGCCGTTCGGGGTATCTGCTCGTGCTGTTTAGAGTACCCGAATCGCGGTAACGGTGGATAAACAGACAAATGTACAGACAGACCAAAGTTTTTTTTTGTTGAAGGTCCCCAAGATATACTGTGGTTTTGAAAGCTGTCATCAGCGACGTTCACCCAATGAATTCAAGAAATAAATGTCATGTTCGCAGCAGGAACCAAGCCCAAGCATTTTGGGTGTCAATCAAGTATTTTACGATAGAGCCATGACAGGTCTTCGAACTACTTTTCAAATAGACATTAATGCTCATGAAACGTCAGCTGTAGTTGATGTTCTGGTTATGAAATTTTTTAAACATACCATGTATACTACTATGATACAAACCTCTCATCGGGTTAACGTCCATTGTACTTATGTGCCGTGTGCTGAAGTTCATGAATGTAGCAGTGTTCATGGCTACTAATTTCGCGAGCACCAGCCCTTCATATCAGCTGATCTCTTCTGGTATTGCTCCTGTTCTGGTTTTCCTCATGTTGTGGTGTTGCTCATGTTGCTCATCAATGCGCAAGTGCAAATAACTAGTTGTGTAAACATCAGTGACTGTTCAACGTATGTTACTGCGTGCAAAAATTTGGACATGTTTAGTGCCATACCATAACATGTCAGCCAAAAAAAAGGTTACAACACAGTAACCTTCCCTCCGCGTGCTCCTCATAAGGTCGATTTTAAAAGTACGTGAGATCTGCCGAGTTTCTTTTTAGAGCAAAGCCGTTAACCTCTAGTTGGCCACCATCATTCGCCACGTTGACCTCCCAGGACGAAAACCACTAGCTATCGATGCAAAAATTTCGGAGATGATACAGTGCTTGGTATATGGCATAGAAAAAGAACTCGTCAATCATTTCCATTTAAAAAGACGCACACGAGAAGCGTGCTAACCACATATATAATTTTAATGAGCAGCTGCTCAAAATGTGAAGCACGCAACATACATGTGCATTTTATCCTTTAAGAAAAGAGCTGCGCAAGAAGCCGCAGCGACCGTAACTCGTGACATTTGCTGTTGCAGATCAATCAATCTATAAAGGAAAAAATGTAACTATTATTGCAGTAACTATTATTGCAGTAATGTTGTAGGCAGTCAGTCTATACTTTGGATTTTGAAGAATAGTGCGAATGCCTAGTGAGCCAATAGGTGATCGCGGACACGCACGCAATCGCAGTAAACTGCAGGACCCACAGAGTGACTGTCACTGCTCTTACTGTAAAGCAATGAAGCATTGCGCACACCACTGAACAGTAATAGTGGTGGTTACCCAATGCTTCTATGTAGATGTACTTTCGCAGGGCAGAGATGCTATGCTTTTTTTATATTGAAGGTGTTGTTAATGTTTTGTCAATTGTTCTGACCTCTTTCTTATGTTTATATGCTCTAGGAGAAGATTGAATAACTGCTGCCGAAAGCACTGCAAGAACCTGCATTGTTGTTTTACTGAAGCCCATATTAGACTTGGCTCTTGTAGGCGGAGTTTATTTTAATAAAAACGCATCATTTTGTCCTCTGATACACTTTTCTTATGTAGCCTCATGATGTAACACCTGACGAGTGCGAAGAAGGAGGTCGTATTCTGCTGTCTCGAGTGCAATAATGTTATCTGAGGTTTAACATTTCACGCAGGACCCCGATATGAATATGAGAGACGCCATAGTGGAGGGCTCTGGCAATCACGACCACTTGTGGTTATTTAACGTGAACTTGAATCCAAGCACATCGACCTCAAGCATTTTCACCCACTTCGAAAATGCGCCGATACGGTCGGGCTTCGATCCACTGACCTGTGGGTCGACAATCAGAAACCATAACTCCAAGTAACAACTACCTCGCTTGGAGAAGAGGCGTTGGTGGACACCTACGGTTTTGTGGATTTAGCGCTGGATGTCTCTATAACGATAATTTGGGTTCCCACGTTCCTAAACCACGACCTGATTCATAGAGACGCTGTTGTGTAGGGCTCTGCAAATTTCGACCATCCCGTGTTCCTTAACGTGCATTGGACTTGCGCACCACAAGGATCTCTGGCATTTCGGCTCCATCGAAATGTGACTGCTGCTGCGGCGATCTATCACGTCGCCTTCGGGTCAGCGCCCGAACACCATAAGCATCGCTCCATCGCGACAAACAGCATTACGGATCTTGTGGTTTGTAGGAACTGCGGCGAGTCGCAGTGGGAAAGTAAATATAACAAATCCCGCAAAACTTATCTGACAGAACATTACCATAGGTGATTCGTAAGGTTTTACGTCCTAAAGAGGCACAGTCTTCGAGAGACGGCGATGTAGACAGTTCCAGATAATTTGAACCACCTTTAGTTCTTGAACGTGCATTCATTGCATACAGCACGCATGCTTGTGGTTCATTCATTCCGTCAAAAATTTATGGCGCCAGCCCAGATCGAGCGCTTGTCATTAATTTCTGCTCTCCACGCATATCGATATATTATTTATGCCTTCTTCGAAAAGAACTCTCGATTCGCGCTAAAATTGCTTCACTGTCCCGTAACGTAACCAAATCATTAAAAGTATGTCTCAAATGACGTCTGCACACTAAACCAGCGTATTAAAGTGAACGATAGCTGAGCATTCTGTGATTTGCCGGGGACTATTTCGTTCCGAATGAAACAGATGGCAGCCTAACGGAGATCATTTTGGCAGCACTTAGTAGCAGCATCTGTAGGGAACACATTTGTTTGCTTAAAATGAGTGCATTTCATAGTTGCCATTTCATAGTTGCCAACAGAGTGCATTTCATAGCTGCCAAGCTCTCCTATACATCATCTAATTGTGAACTTTTTTTTTCTGTGGTGAAAACTGCCTCGTTCAGTAAAAGGGGAAGCGGAGTCACCCTCACGTTTTACCCTAGCTGAGTTCAACAAAGCCACTTAATTTCGCTGTGTAATAATTGACGCATACCAACCAAGAAGACAAGGTGGGCAACGCTTTAAGTTTTCGATGAAAAATAAAAACGAGTTTCCACGAAGAGAAGCAGCTGATTTGTGACGTTGTCATAACTATCGTTGGTTACAGTCGGGGCCAGCGTCGCTAAAGGTGTCAATTTCACGTCCCGTAGAGCAGCATAAAAACAATAGTAGGTAATGGTATGACGTCACACTCATAAAACCACTGTACAATGGTGGCCTCCTCCATCAATGCAAAAGAAAAAAGTGCAGGTAATTGCAAATATGGCTTACTCCTGAAAGAACAGATCGATTTTAGTCGTGGGCCACGAAAAACAAAGTGCTGTAGGAGCAGGGTATACGTTATAAACTTCCGTATGTAAATAAATGGCAGCTTTTAAATTGCAAGCTTCACCCTAACTGCTCGGTAAATATGTACTGTCGACATTCACCACGCTGAAACGTCCGGTGACGGTGTTCCAGACTTCTGAAAATGAATGCTGTAGCGCCTCCTTTTCCCCGATGCCAAGTACGCTTA